CTTCCGTGTGTGTGTGTGTGTGTGTGTGTGTGTGTGTGTGTGTGTGTGTGTGTGTGTGTGTGTGTGTGTGTGTGCATACATTGGGCTTTGAGCTGTAATGCTCTGGAAAATCATCACCGAGCGAGTGAGTGTGTGGTGTGTTCTTGCTGGCTGCTAGTAGCAGCTGCCTGGTTGATCAAGTAGTCCAACAAGGAGGGTAGGACTCTCAAAACTTGTGACAGGTATATCATATGTGACACAACCAAAGTTGATACCGTTTATTTTATATTTTGTGTGTTTGTGCGTGTGTGTACTCACCTAATTGGGGTTGCGGGTGTACTCACCTATCTGTGGTTGCAGGGGTCGAGTCTTAGCTCCTGGCCCCGCCTCTTCACTGGTTGCTACTAGGTCCTCTCTCTCCCTGCTCCATGAGCTTTATCAAACCTCGTCTTAAAACTATGTATGGTTCCCGCCTCCACTACGTCATTTTCTAGGCTATTCCACTGCCTGACAACTCTGTGACTGAAGAAATACTTCCTGACATCCCTTTGACTCATCTGAGTCTTCAACTTCCAACTGTGACCTCTTGTTTCTGTGTCCCCTCCCTGGAACATCCTTTGTCCACCTTGTCTATTCCGCGCAGTATTTTATATGTCGTTATCATGTCTCCCCTGACCCTCATATCCTCCAGTGTCGTCAGGCCGATTTCCCTTAACCTTTTTTCATAGGACATTTCCCTTAGCTCTGGAACTAACCTTGTCGCAAACCTTTGCACTTTCTCTAATTTCTTGACGTGCTTGATCAAGTGCGGGTTCCAAACAGGTGCTGCATACTCCAGTATGGGCCTGACGTACACGGTGTACAGTGTCTTGAACGATTCCTTACTAAGGTATCGGAACGCTGTTCTCACGTTTGCCAGGCGTCCATATGCCGCAGCAGTTATCTGGTTGATGTGTGCTTCCGGAGACAAGCTCGGTGTTATACTCACCCCAAGATCTTTCTCTTTGAGCGAGGTTTGTAGTCTTTGGCCACCTAGCCTATACTCCGTCTGCGGTCTTCTGTGCCCTTCCCCGATCTTCATGACTTTGCATTTGGCGGGGTTAAATTCGAGAAGCCAGTTGCTGGACCAGGTGTCCAGGTGTGTGTGTGTGTGTGTGTGTGTGTGTGTGTGTGTGTGTGTACTCACCTATTTGTGGTTGCAGGGGTCGAGTCCTAGCTCCTGGCCCCGCCTCTTCACCGGTTGCTACTAGGCCCTCTCTCTCCCCGCTCCATGAGCTTTATCAAACCTCGTCTTAAAACTGTGTATGGTTCCTGCCTCCACTACGTCATTTTCTAGGCTATTCCACTGCCTTACAACTCTATGACTGAAGAAATACTTCCTACTATCTCTCTGACTCATTTGTGTTTTCAACTTCAATTGTGGCCTCTTGTTTCTGTGTCCCCTCCTGGAACATCCTGTCTTTGTCCACCTGTCTATTCCACGCAGTATTTTATATGTCGTTATCATGTCTCCCTGACCCTCCTGTCCTCCAGTGTCGTCAGGCCGATTTCCCTTAATCTTTCTTCATGGACATTCCCCTTAGCTTGGAACTAACCTTGTGGCAAACCTGTACTTTCTCTAGTTTCTTGACGTGCTTTTTTCAAGTGCGGGTTCCAAAAAAGGTGCTGCATACTCCAGTATGGGCCTGACATACACGGTGTACAGTGTCTTGAATGATTCCTTATTTACGGTATGGGAATGCTGTTCTCAGGTTTGCCAGGCCCCCATATTGCTGCAGCAGTTATCTGATTGATGTGTGTTTCCCGGAGACATGCTCGGTTTTTATACTCACCCCCAAGATCTTTCTCCTTGAGTGAGGTTTGAAAGTCTTGGCCACCTAGCCTATACTCTGTCTGTGGTCTTCTGTGCCCTTCCCCTATTTCATGACGTTGCATTTGGCAGGATTTAAATTCGAGAAGCCATTTGCTGGACCAGGTGTCCCAGTCTGTCCAGGTCCCCTTTGAAGTCCTGCCTGGTCCTCATCAGATTTAATTCTCCTCATTAACTTCAATCATCTGCAAACAGGGACATTCTGACTCTAACCTTCCGTCTTTGTCGTTCAATATACCAAAATAGCACTGGTCCTGGGACCGACCCCTGTGGGACCCCGTCGTCACAGGTCCCCACTGTGATACATCAATTACGTACCATGATCGTTTGGTTGCCTCCTGTCAGGTATTTCTGATCCATTGCAGTGCCCTTCCTGTTATATGCGCCTAAAGCTCTAGCTTCTGCACAAAATCTCTTGTGAGGAACTGTGTCAAAGGCCTTCTTGCAGTCCAAGAAGATGCAATCAACCCACCCCCTCTCTCTCTTGTCTTACTTCTGTTATTTTATCATAAAACCCCAGAAGGTTTTGATGACACAGGATTTGCCTTCCGTGAATCCGTTGCTGGTTGGCATTTATACTCCTGTTCCGTTCCAGGTGCTCCACCACCTCCTCCTGATAATCTTCTCCATAATTTCCCATACTATACAAGTCAATGACACAGGTCTTAGTTTAGTGCCTCTTTTCTGTCTCCTTTTTTGAAAATGGGAACTACATTTGCCGTCTTCCATACCTCAGGTAGTTGCCAGTTTCCATGGGAGTGTTGAAGATTGTGGTAAGTGGCACGCACAACATATCTGCTCCCTCTCTAAGTACCACGGAGAGATGTTGTCCGGTCCCATTGCCTTGAGTATCGATGTCCCTTAGCAGTTTCTTCACTCCTCCTCATCTGTATGTATGTCGTCCAACACTTGTTGGTGTATTCCTTGCTGGTGTCCCCATCTGGTCTGTCCCCCCAGAGTCCTTCCTGTCTTACTGTAAATACTTCTTAAAATCTCGTGTTGAGCTACCTCACAACCTCTTGATCGTTTCTTGTGAGTTCTCCACTTCTTTCCTCAGCCTTATCACCCTGGTCCTTGACTGTTAGTCTTCCTCCTAATGTGGCCTATACAGCAGTTTCGGGTCAGATTTGACTTTCGATGCTATGTCGTTTTCATACTGTCGCTGGGCCTCCCTCCTTATCTGCGCATACTCGTTTCATGAGCTCTTCTACTAATCTCCTTGTTTTCTGGGTCCTATGCCTCCTGTACCTTTTCCATTCTCTGTTGCACTTAGTTTTTGCTCCCTACACCTTCGGGTGTGTGTGTGTGTGTGTGTGTGTGTGTGTGTGTTGTGTGTGTGTGTGTGTGTGTGGTGTGTGTGTGTGTGTGTGTGTGTGTAGTGCTCGCGCGCGGTGCGTGTTATAAGTTACACGTATACAATTATTTCTTTTACCTCAGAGGCAACGATACATAAATATTTCTCAAGCATTTAATTTCACTAGCGTGTGGACTGAACCACTGGCACTCACGGCCTGCCTGGGCAACACCCTCAATTTAATATTGCCTTAGTTCACTGGACCACCGTGTCACAAAACACTTCGTGAACCCAAGGTGTTACTGCTTAACAATGAACCACCTAATTGCATTTTGCAGAGTGTATAATGTCACCTTCAACCTTCATATTTTCTCCTCTCTGGCTTTCTCTCTTTATTTCGTTACTTTACCTACTTACTGGTCTGTAGTCGTTGTATGAAAGTACCTGTTTGGTACCGTTTGTAAGTACAACAGCAGTTATGCTGGTAGTGTCATCTCTTCAGTGTTTGTAGTTACAGCAACAGAGTTATGCTAGTAGTGTCATGTCTTCACTATTACTCTTTGGGTTATGCATGATATCAAGTTCATTATCCTTCTGTCCACCTTTCCAGTTATTCCTGTTGCACGCATATTGTTTAAATTACCTCATGGTTGCAGTTACTAAAGGCTTTTGCAAAGTCAACGCACACTACATCTGCATTATGCTGGTCTTCCAGTTACCAGTGTCATGTAATGGTCTAGCAATTGCGACTGGCAGGAGCGACCTGTTCTGAACCCATGTTCCTTTTGGTTGTGCAATTACTGCAGTTCCATGTGAGTGGCAGTCTTACTTTTTTAAATATTTTCGAAGATCTTAATAAAGTGGGACATTAGGAAAGTGGTTTACAGTTTTTTTTTTTTTTTGCAACTGTTTTGCTGCCAGCTTTGGAGACTGGTGCAATATCAGTGTTTTTTTTTTTAAATGATTGTGGGATGACTCGTGTTCAGGCTTCTTATCAAGAGCATATTTAAGGCACGAGATAAAGGTTCCTTGTAATTCTTGAATATGGAGCTCCACTAGTCTTGACCTGGGGAGGAGTACATAGGCATGTAATCAATCACTTCCTCGAAGTCAAGTGGGGGTTAATGTTATGTCAAAAATTACAAAGATGTCAGCAACGCTTTGCGTCTCGTTCATGAAAAACTTATTTGGGTAGTCAGTCCTTAGGCTGATTAGTAATTCAGTGAGTACCAAGTCGTAATGTACATATTTGTATCACTCTATGTTCCATCTTCTATAATTAAAGGCCAATACTAAATGTTGTTTTGGCCCTGGATTTTGCGCACAAGAAAGAGTATTCTGGATTTCTTTCAATTTCACTTATTGCTCTTAGCTGCTTCCGTCTCTCCTGGATTCTCTATATATAGGCGAGTACAAAGAGGAAGCGCGTCTGTCTTGCGCTCAGCAGACGGAAGATCAAGCCTCCAACACGTCTTGCACTGAATGACCCACAAGGGTTTAGCGTTTAACATTAATTAAACATCCTGGATTCTGGATGTTGCATTCAGTTTGAGCTCAACTATCCCCCGACTTTTATCCAGTGTTTCTTTTCGTCTTTTCAGAAATTCTGCAGCCTGAGAGAATTTCGGCGACTCGTCGCCTTTGCGTGTTCAGGAGGCGCCTCTTCCTTGTCATCTTGCACCTTCTCCTCCGGTGGTGTACCGTCTTCAGTGTTTAGTGTAACGTTCTTCTCAAGGAAACATTGGTGTATACGTTCACTCGCTCTGGCTTCTTTCTCTGTTTACACGTAGGGTATACAGTGCTTCAATGTTATCAGCAACTTTTACGGTGAACCATCAGCAAGTTTTCGTTAGATAGTGTTATCAGCTGAGTATGGATCTGGCCGCCTGTCAGCGTCCGTGCCACGCACTTCCTTCCTTAGTGTGGACCTGGCCGTTCATCACAGCGTCCGTGCCCCTCACTACCGTCCGTGTGTGTCTTTGCCCGCCCAAGCACTCAGAATTCCAATCTTCTCCATCGTTTCCTGGAGGTGTGCACCAGCCCTACCAGACTGGTCTGAATTATTGCTTTTTGTTTTGTTTTGTTCTCCTACTCTGTACTCTTGACTTCTTAAAAAGTTCACTTAACTAGTTTTAATCGTATTTACAAGTCATCTGAATCAAGGTATATACTGGCTCCCTCATTCTTCTGTGTTAGTGTGACTTTGTTAATGGTCAAAGTCGGACCAAAACGTCGTGGTAAGTTTCTCTCTCCTATGTGCGGGTTATCTGTGTATTGTTCCAGTAAGTCTTTCAAGGAGGTACCTTGATGCTGAACTCTTGATTTAAGGAATTGGATTCTCCCTCTAATCGAATCCTGTATGGGTTTAAGATCTACTCAATGTGTTCCTGATTATTATTATAATTTATGTTAAGCGCTAAATCCATGGGGATCATTCAGCGCATGACGTGGAGGCTTGATCCTCCGTCTGCTGAGCGCCAGACAGACGCGCTTCCTATTTGTACTCACCTAGTTAATGTGTTCCTGAGCAATTCAGTATCGCGTTAGGGTTTTCTTAAAGTTCTTGGCTATAATGTTGACTTATAGAGGTGTACAAGTGTTTTGCTTTATAGGTGTGTGTTGCAAGTGTTGTGTATAACTTAAATTGTGCATTACAGTGATGGCTTGCGGCAGTGTGTTCGCCACGGAGACCAAATTGGGTCGTGACCTCTCTGCCCTCGACCCGACCCGCAATGACCTGGCCTCTGACCTCCCACGCAAGAAGAGGGACTCCCCCTCCAACTCCAGGAACCCCTCATACAGGTACGGTTCTTGATCTTATTGTTAGTGTTCTTCAAGGAGGAAATACGTGACGCAGGCCCGTCAAGGAGTGGGGTGCCTTGATCCAAGGAGTTGGAGTTACCCTTAACTGAATTAAAATCGAGTACCTCCCTAGTTGTCTAACAATAATAATAAATAATAATGATATGATCTTGGGTCATACATCTACTGTGTCTATTTTGTTAGTGTTGATTCTAGTAAATGTGGGAGTGTGGCGTGAGTGGCTGAGGACGTGTGGGTGTGTGGCGTGAGTGGCTGAGGACGTGTGGGTGTGTGGCGTGGTGGCTGAGGACGTGTGGGTGTGTGGCGTGAGTGGCTGAGGACGTTGTGGGTGTGTGGCGTGAGTGGCTGAGGACGTGTGGGTGTGTGGCGTGAGTGGATGAGGACGTGTGGGTGTGTGGCGTGAGTGGCTGAGGACGTGTGGGTGTGTGGCGTGAGTGGATGAGGACGTGTGGGTGTGTGGCGTGAGTGGATGAGGACGTGTGGGTGTGTGGCGTGAGTGGATGAGGACGTGTGGGTGTGTGGCGTGAGTGGATGAGGACGTGTGGGTGTGTGGCGTGAGTGGCTGAGGACGTGTGGGTGTGTGGCGTGAGTGGATGAGGACGTGTGGGTGTGTGGCGTGAGTGGATGAGGAAGTGTGGGTGTGTGGCGTGAGTGGATGAGGAAGTGTAGGTGTGTGGCGTGAGTGGATGAGGACGTGTGGGTGTGTGGAGTGAGTGGATGAGGACGTGTGGGTGTGTGGCGTGAGTGGATGAGGAGTGTGGGTGTGTGGCGTGAGTGGATGAGGAAGTGTGGGTGTGTGGGCGTGAGTGGATGAGGACGAGTGGGTGTGTGGCGTGAGTGGATGAGGACGGGTGGGTGTGTGGCGTGAGTGGGTAGATGTATGAAGTGTGGGTGTGTAGCGTGGGTAAGTGTGGGCGTGGGTGTGGGAGAGTTGCATCGCTACGGGTGTGGTTCATCGTCAAGGTAAATTCTCTCTTTCATTCTCTTTCAATTTCTCTCTCATTCTCTCTGTGTCTATGTCTGTTTCTCTGTCTTTGTCTTTTTCTCTCTCTGTGTCTGTCTATCTGTCTGTCTCACACACACAAAAGGGGTTGTTAGGTTTTAACTTTCACACTTGTACACCACATCTGTACCCTGTAGACTACATCTGTGCCCCTGCGCATCACATCTGTACCCATGTACACCACATCTGTACACTTGTACATCACATCTGTACCCCTGTGCACCACAGCTGTATTCCTGTACACATTTGTACACCATTCCTATACCCCTGCACCAACGTTAGTCAGATGGCATGCCTACACCTGTATCCTTGGAGTAGGGAGGTACATAATAATTAGTTACTGTAGTAGGCCTATTTGCCCATGATAGGCAGGTCCATCTCACACCTGTCTAACCCATTTTTAGAGTTTGTTCCACCAATTCACATACATCACCAAACCAATACTCTCCTTCGTCGTTTCTAAATCTGTTTAACTTAAATCTCTTGTCTGTTAGTTTTGTTGTGATTAAATATTTTTAACGGGGTTTTCATATCCACTTCATTTATGACGATTTTCATTGTGTATACTTCAGTGATATCCTCTCTAATTGTACGACTTTGAGAGTGCAAGTTCATCGCCTTTAGAATGTCTTCTTAGGAGAGAGAAAAGCTTACGACGACGTTTCGGTCCGTTTTGAACTATTCACAAGTCACACTGACAGAAGAGAGTGAGCCAGTATATATAGGCGAGGAGGACAAGGACGGGAGAAAGAGAGAAGGAAACAGTAGTAGTGGTGGTGATAATGCTGGTAGAGGAAGTAGTAGGGAGAGTAGTTTCCGCCGCCACCACTACTTCTGTTTCCTCTTTCTCCGTCCTTGTCCTCCTCGCCTATATATACTGACTTACTCTCGTTTGTCAGTGTGACTTGTGAATGGTCCAAGACAGACCGAAACGTCGTCATAAGCTTTTCTCTCGATGTGCGGGTTATTTGTATATTGTTCCAGTCACGGTATTGCGCCTTATCGCTCTTCGTGGGAAAGGTTTCCGATACTTGGTTATCCTCCTCAGTAAGTTACCCAGCCGGGAGCTGAGCAATACAGTAAGGCTGAAGTATAACCTTAGGACTTCTATTATTTATACTTCTTGGTAGGATTGGCTACCCATCAGATACCCACCTCAAGTAATATATAAAAAGTAACATTTGAAAAAGTACTGTTGGAAGAGGTCACAAGCCACGAGCTGCACGATCGTGTTATCGAGGGACTGGATCCACCGTTTCTGGGGCGGAATGTAAACGAAAAATGGAATTTAGTCTCAGGACAGGAGGGTTGGATGAGTGAGACTAGAATTAACTGACGACTGACAGCAAATGGACAGCGAAGCCTCAAATACAACAGGATGTCAAACTAGAATGTATATGAAGGAATCCTATAATATACAAAATCAAGTTATCATCCATCTTAAGTACACCTGAAATCAAATGAAAAGTTTACTTAATAATGTTTGCAGACATTACTGCTTAACGTCCATTATAAATAGAGAAAATTATTTCAAGTTAATAAGGATGAAAAATAGAAAAGAATCAGACTCAAGACAATGCATCAGCGATGTCACGTATGTGACGGATGTGACGTATCTAGATTGTCTGTGGGTTCATTATACTATTAAATGATGTAACGGGTTGGGTGTGAACCCATGGCGAGCGACACCTTAAACTCACAGACCAGTGTGTTAACCAATCGTCTTATTACGATTTCGTGATGTATTGAAAATAGTATAAAATACTGACAAGTTGATGATTAAGACACACGTGCAACAGTTAGGTATCTTTATTGTTGAAACGTTACGCCTAAACAGTAGACTTCTTCAGTCAAATACAGAGGCAGCAGGTGTAGTAGTTAAATGATGATGTAATCAGTCCATCGACCTTAGAAAAATAGTATTTGAGGTGGTCAGTCCCTCAGCCTGGAGAAGAGTTGAGTTCCATGGAACTGAACTCTTCTCCAAGCTGAGGGACTGACCACCTCAAATACTATTTCTCCAAGGTTGATGGACTGAGTTACATCATCTTCATTTAACTATTACACCTGCTGCCTCTGTATTTGACTGAAGAAGCCTGCTGTGTAGGCGAAACGTTTCAACAATAAAGATACCTAACTGCTGTACATGTGTCTTCATCATCAACGATTTCATGAGTCAGAAAGTTATTAAAACTAGTTTAACACACAAATACTATGTAGACTGTCCTAGTGTTAGGTGGCTGTCATCCAAGTGCCCCTCCATGAAGGTTCCTTGATGATGGTGAGCGGAGGGGAGCTCTTGATCTAAGGAATTAGACCAATGCTCCAATTTCTTGAATCAAACCAGCATGCCTTCCATTCCCCGAGGCACTGTATGACCCCTGTATGTTTAAGGCCACGTCAGTTACCCTGTCTTCTATAATGTTATTTTTCCTCTATAATCTACCATGTCCATAATTACTATCACATTTGCTTAAAAGCTCAGACCTCTGCAACACAATTGTCCTCATAGACTTGTTAAGTTATACCATGATCTAAGGAAAGTTCCTAGACTTCACCTTACGAGCGCAAACAAAGCAAATGCGATAGTAATTATGGAGAAGGTAGATTATAGGGGAAAAATAAACATGATATTAGGAGACAGGGAAACTCACGCGCCTCGTAAGTGCTCCCCCATGAATGTAATAATAATAATAATAATAATAATAATAATAATAATAATAATAATAATAATAATAATAATAATGTCATCTAAGCAGATATTTTAACAGGCTTATTACTGTTTCCATGCTGCGGGAGAAAGTGTAGGGGTCGAGTTACCGCTCCTGGCGATGAGGCGATGTGCTGAGATCAGCTTCAAAATGTTCAAGCACCATAACTAATAACAATGCTTCTTCAACAGATGCATAGATTACCTGCTGGCAACCCATTCTCATTCTAACACGCCAGTGGTTGAGGCGCAGCTCACCGTCAACCATTCCACATTTCCTGTATCTCTTCAAATTATATTTCAATTACTTCTAGATTAGATTCGGTTAATTTAAATTAACTTTTACAAACTTGAAATTAACAAAAAAATTAGATAAAAATGTGCCATAATATGTTTGGCAATGGTTGACATGAGTCACTCTTGGTGTGAGCATGGCTGACGTGAGTCACTCTTAGTGTGAGCATGGTTGATGTGAGTCACTCTTGGTGTGAGCATGGGCTGCTGGTTCAGCTTGAGCTTGGTTGAGAAGCAGCAAGAAGGGTAGATGCAGTGTCTGGGAGGTTGGATGCAGTGTCTGGTGTGATGGTGACCTTTACAGACGTACAACACCGATGTTCACAACACCGGCATGCACATGCAACAATGTTGATCAAGGTTTGAACTTACCATCACCAACGTTACGTTCACTCAGACTCACCAACACTTGCCCTCACCAACATCACGTTCACTCAGACACACTCACCCCTCACTAACACTTACCCTCATCAACGTTAAGTTCACTCAGACACACCAACACTCATCCTCACCAACGTGACGTTCACTGTCATCAACGTAACGTTCACTCTCATCAACGTGACGTTCACTTACCAACACTCAAGTTGTATGCTAACCTTCACAGTATAAACACGGGTGATACAAGGACGTTGGTTGCCTAGTGAGACCTACGTAAATATCGACGTACCCCCCCCCCCCCCACCACCATCGCTGGGTCACCTTAACACTGGTGGAGGTTTGAGTAAGGGCTTCTACTCTGGGAGGGGGTGCCACTCTTCCCACAGGGTGCCACTCTTACTACAGGGTGCCACTTTTCCCACAGGGTACCACTCTTCCCAAAAGGTGCCACTCTTCCCACAGGGTACCACTCTTCCTACAGGGTGCCACTCTTCCCACAGGGTGCCACTCTCACCAGAGGGTACTAAGAACACATCACCTTCACATAGCTACAGTGACAGGAGTAGTGAAAACAGCACACCAACATCACTCAAG